GAAAACAAGTCGTGTTTATATGTTAATAAGCTACCAATGGGTCTGAGTATAATTATCTAATCAGTTTACATCTGTAATTATGGGTGAGGTTACTTTAGACTTGAACAAAGGGCCTGCAGTGCAAATTTTCACAATTAGCTGCCTACACCACCACTGGCTTATCTACGTACAAAATCAATTTTCCCAACTAAATAGAAGCTGAGCAACTGACATACTCCTTCCAAGTATATTTGATAAGGGATAGCAAGGTAACAAACCAGCTTTTTTTTTTTTGCAAAGTGGGAGTGAAAGAGTTACCTACTTTTTCTTTAGAATAGAATTTCTATACTCTAAACAGTACTTTGATTACAACTATTGTCTTACAGAATAAAGCTTTAATGAAAATTAGGTGTTCAAGAATCTATCCAACAGGCAAAAGGCTACAATCCTACAATGAAAAGAGGCAACTAAATTTTTTTTTTTAAGGGAAAATAGCCTAAACAAACCGCAAAACATAACTAACTTTAACTAGGTATAAAAAAATTAGAAACTACAATGCAGCAAAACAACACAGCAAGGTAAAGGATAAAAAGTTGCAATTGATGCAGCTAAGAAGCACAAGACTTTTTAATGCATAAGAAAAAAATACCAAAAATAACATAACTTACTACTAGTGAAGGATAGTAAAATTGTCAAGAGCCAAAAAAAGCTGTGATGTGCAATAAGTACTTTACACTAGGAAACAATTAAGATGACATATCTATGAAGAAACTTAAGTACTTTCCAATGCTCTAACAGTGGTAGAGATGTTTCCTTTATCACTATGAAATTTTTAGAAATAAATACTTGTGATGGCAAGGTCAAATGATTTGTTCCTAATAATTCTGGAAAGCTGGGATTAAAGTCTCAAGTGGCTGACAGTTTTACAACACTACCATAGTTCAAATAAATCATGACTTAATCCTCTGACGACAAGAAAAAAAAAAGTGACAACACAGGCCAGAAAGTTTGTCACTTAACTAGAAAATATATAGAAGAAACTGTGTAGAAAGTATTAAATTAACAGATCAAAACAACCTATGTTGACTAGCATCAACAGAAGATTATGCACAGAAGACTAAAATCATGATTTTGCCTAAGTAATACAAAAGTGAGGCAATATAATATTTACCCACATGACCATAATATTTACCTACATACCACCCGACTAGCAAGGTGGTTTTAGAACTGTGTTAGAGCAATAAAGAACACATAAAGTAAATTAAAGCTCAAGACAGCACCACAGTTTATTTACTGATTTTAATGAGAGAACTTGCCTGGACTGTTGCCATATTTAAAAGCATTCAACATTTTCTGTGATTGAAAGTGACTCTAAACACACTTTTTGATAGCATGTTGTGGATGAGATGGGCATCAACTACTCAGAGTAGCAGTCAGAACATAGTCAGAAGGACCAAACCAGACAGACTCGCTCAAACAAAATATGTTCTATGCGAAAATCAAATGCAAAGCATATTGTTAAGGAACAAGCAGGGGACCATACTTTAAACAGCAAATTAATTTCATCTGCACATAGCTTTTGTTCAGAATAAGCAAATGATCCAAAGGAAGACAGCCATATTCAGCAGCAGTGGCTATTCTGTATGAGTAATTACAATTCTGATGACACAGACAATCCCCAAAACAGAAGAAACTGTGAGCTGCATGACTGCAACAGGACTGCATGATTCAAGATTTTAGCCCAATGCTATTAAGTATTTATCTGTCAATGAGAAAAAGGCTGAAGATCACAGACATCAAAATACTGGTCATCACATAGGTGAGATTAAGAAATGCTTTTAGAAAGAAACTTAGGATTTTTATGGATGCTGTAAAGCTTCTAAGGCTTGGATCTTACTCATCTCTCTGATGAGAAGTGCTGAAAGATATCACTCCAGGGTAGTACTGCAGAAGCAAACAGCCATAGTTCCAAGTGAAAGGTCTGTATAAGTTGTGACCCTTAAATTCATTATCTATCATGACAGTGTCCTTTAAAAAATGGAAATGTATCACCTGGGTTCTTGTGGAATTTGGTGACAGATCAGTGCATAATACTGAAACACTATTCACCAAGAGATCAGCTCATATTACATTTGAATTAATTAAAACATGAAGCAGGTTTATTTTAGAAAAGTAGTCTGTGAAATGAGGTCCTGAAAAGCAGCAGGAAAGGGTTCTTACAAAATGGTCACCCAGACTGCAGGACTTTTGGTCACATCAATGAGATGATCATCCCCAATATGGTTGCTGTGGTTTAACCCCAGATGGCAATTTAGCCTCACACAGCCCCTTGCTCACTACCCTTGGGTGGTAGAAGTGAGAAAACTCAGGTTGAGATAAAGACAGTGTAACTGGGAAAGCAAAAGCTGCACACACAAACAAAGCAAAATAAAGAATTCAATCACCACTTCTCTTGGGCAGGCAGGTGATCAGCCACCCCCAGGAAAGCAGAGCGCCAGAGGGCTCCCTCAGGCATCGCCGTGACTTGGGAAGACAAACGGCATCACCCTGAATGTCTCCCTTTCCTTCTTCATCCCCCAGGTCTATATGTTGAACTTGATGACATATGGTATGGAATGTCCCTTGGGTCAGTTGGGGTCAGCTGTGCCCTCCCAACTCCATGTATGGCTGCCTGTTCCTGGCCTGAAACAGAGTCAAAAGGCCAGGCACACCTTGGATTTCATTTTTTGGGCAAGTAAATTCATCCAACCTGCAAGAAACTAATGTCCTAAGGAAGCAAACCTCCAAGAATGACAGCATCTCCTCCATCAAATATTCAATTTATATGCATAAGTGAACAGGAACTATCTAGAGACCCCCATCACTGGCATCTGTGGCTGCCCATGGAAAAGCTAATCAAATAAGGTTAAACCAAAAGTTTTTCATAGAATCAACAAGAATAAGCAGCATAAGAATCAGTTCTTATCAAATTCTTATCAAATTATCAATCAAAATTCTTCTTGTCAAATGTTTTGTTCAACACTTAATAGCAGCTGTTCACAAGAAAAAATTATTGTGAAGGCAAACAATTTCAGAAGTGGAAATTGTACCTATGGCTGCACTCAGCAACTTCTATCAATTTCCCTTGGAATCAGAAGCAAGACGTAAGCTTTCCACAACACTGGTTCTAGACTCGCAAACACATTATTATTTGGGACTGCCACCTCTGATGCTGGAAAATATCCAGTAGGATTAGACTATTCCTCCAGAAAAATATGAAAAATATGGGGGAGAAGGGGAAAGCAGACATCTAAATAGATCCTGACCCCTTGACAACAAAATGTGACACTGCCACCGACTTAATCTTCAAGAAAAGCTAGACAAATCTACAGGAAGCAGCAATAATGCCATTTGTTCAGCAATGCAGAACACAAGGCTAGCACCAAAGGGCACTTGAGGTACTTGAGCTGCAACTGCTACAGCTCCAGAACAGTCTAACAGCATCTGAGCTGGTATCTCCTGTACCAAAAGCCACAAGAACAAACTGGGAAAGTCTGCAGAACTGCCACTAGAAGTAGGCATCTGGAAGCCGTCAGAAGTAAATAATTTTTGACTATGTTGATGCTAATTGGTCTATAATTATCCATGGTATCCAGGCATCAATATTCTGTTTCATTCTGCATTTTAACTTCAAGACTTTGATATCCCATCACATTTATTTTCCCATTCACATCAACACAGCACCTACAGCCCCTTCTTCATGTCAAAGCAAGTTGTATTTGATAACACTCATTCTGATCCCCTTTAGACCTGCATCCCACTTCTGTTACCCCAAATACTTAATTCTTCAGGGATGGGAGAAACAAAATAACGTCTAAGCACACATAGAAGGGAAGGTTTTCAACATGCCTGTTGTTGTAAACTTCTGTAGGCTTTCACAATTTCTCCTTATAACACACATATATAACATACCTGTCATCTGATTGGAGCACAGTTCAGAATGAAGGTTTAAGAATACGGCCTTCTATCCAAAGTCTGAGAACAACACTTAGCATAGTGCCAGCTGACTGTCTTAAATTAACAACCAAAGTCTTTGAGGCCAGTGTACAGGTCCTTTTGTACAATGGATCAAGTATTGATCTATTGTTATATTATAGTCCTAACACCCTTACAAAAAATTCCCAGACCTGTGTTCTGCTTATAAACCAGAGAAGAATTATCACTTACTATCTACAAGCTGGCCTTTAGCTTAAACTGGTAACTTAGAAATGGAAGAGAAGTTGCACAAAGGAAATTCAGATTTCACAAGTTCTTTCAAAATCAGGACTACGATGATTTGTACATCTCTCAAGAGTTATCAGTGATCATAGACCTGAGCGTTTGCTGTAAATACCAAAAAGAGTATCTATTGACTAATAGAGGATTTACTGAAAGGACAAAGAAGGAATGAATAAGAGGGGTTAATCAAAAATAAAACAAAAAGAGCAAAAGTATCAAATGTAGCCTTTATTATACACTATAGGTAAGTGTTCTAAGTGTTGTCACATGAACATTTGATTTCAATTAATTTACATTGTATCAGTGCTCTTCCAACAGAAGTGACTTTCCTGTACTTTACTGTTCAAAATAACCACAGGCTAATAAAGAATATATGAAACAATTCTTAACCTCATTAAAAGAGTCACAGCTTAAAATGCAACCCCAACAGTACAAAATTTGGTTACATCAGCTTTCCTAAAATTCACCCATACCTTTCCCCCAAAAGACTAAATACTCACAGGAGCAAGCAGAACTGGCTCATTACATGAAGATACATTAAAAAAAACCCCCAAACCCAAACACACCAGCTCCTACAGTTCTTGTTGTATTTGTGGCTCCCTGGCCTCCTCACAGAGGAAGGCAACTGCTACGTAAAAAGTTTTGCAGACTACAAGCTTCATTGCAAGCAGGCAACTATGCCGACTTGATTTTGTGATATTTTCTTCATCCTAAAATTAAAATCACACATTATCTATTTTTATTCTGTATTACAAGATACTTACTCTGCCATTACACGTCTGACGTTATTGGCATATAACACTGGATTTTTTCTTTCTTCTTCTGAAGGAGTATACACAGGTAGAAACTGCATAAAGAGAACTGAATTATACCAAAAATATTTAACATTTTAAACAATCTCTCTTATAGCATTACGGTGAAAATTGTGTACAGTTTGTTGTTACTTACAAAATTATATTAACAAAAGGACTATAGAAAAATTTATAATTCAACTCTTAAATGCTTAAGCATATGTCATACTTCTAGAAATTCATATAACAGACTCTGCTCAATTTTTATCTCATGGAACCCAGGGAGAGTAAGTAAGACTAGGAATTTTTAAATAATTTACAAGTATTAGCATTTTCTTGCATAAACCTTTCTTTTACATTCTTTTGTTCAGCTCTTTCCAGATAACCAAAAAATTTCACACTGGTCTTTAAAAAATAAAATAACAACTGGGGAATAAATATGAAGTAGTTTCAGCAAATATTTCTCAATAACTTTGAAGTTAGCTGTATTGTCACAATTACATAATGGTATGATCAGCAGTACTCTAACGTTGCCATTAGATGTTTTTTCTTATAATGGGCAAATCTTGAATTTTTTTTGAGTTTTGCTAGTTTTCCTTACATGCACTACTGCAACTGCAAACATATGACTCCTGTCTTCTAGGTTTACATTACAAGCAGATACACCAGCCTGATTTAATATACAAAAGGACAAAGACTGTGAAGTTAACAGAGGTGGAATAAGTGTTCCTTCAACTTCCAAGTCCTATTCCATTTCTTCGAGTTGCAAACTGCTGTCAAGTCATTCACCCAAACACAGAACAAGTCTGAAGATGAGGAGATTTCAGAGGTGTTCTACATGTCCGTGCCTAACTTGATATAAATAGCTTGATATTTCAACAGCACTCACAAAACCAGAAGAACTCTCAGCTGCTGCAGATTGTGATGGATGTATGAACACTGAAGCAGACAGGTCACCAAAACAAACTGACATGAGCCAAAACAATCTACATGTGCAGATGAACATATCTCCGTTCTTCTTCACAACATTGCTTGCATGCCAGTTCCAAGTACAGGATGGATAGATGGGCCAATATTTACAGAAACCTATTATAAAACCTACATAGATGCTTGATTCTCAATATACATACTGGATGACACATATGGTATGCCAGAACATATGTTATATGCAGAGAAGCACAGACTAATTTTGGATCCTGATTGTTGGCTGTTTAACCTTACCAGCTATCATTTAATCAAAAACAGACCGATGTTGTGTTGTTCTGTTGTATGTCTCCCTGAGTTATCGCATCATAAGCAGTAACTGTGGTATCTAGGCTGGTTGGTATTTGCTAGCATCTCTGTGCTGATGGAACAGAGCAGGAATAAAAACCAAAAAATTCTGGAGACCAAGGGAAAAACACGGCTTTGAACAACTAGTTTTTCTTCTACATTCCTAAATCTGCCACACTTCCTTACAAAAACAGATTCAACAAGTAGATCTCAAGTATTCTGCCTCATACTTGAAAGCAACCTTGAAAACAGCTCTGTTCCTCTACCCTCTGCCAGCTCCTGCTCTAGTACGGAGTACTTTAGAAGGCCACTAGTTAGTTAGCTTTTTTTTTAAAGACTATCAAAGATCATAACTTATTATGCAAGATCTGTAAGAGCTACAGAAACTCAGCATCTGCTAGCAGCTGCTGCCTCAAAAATCAAGAAAGCTCAGCAGTGTTCACTTCTGTGTGAAAGAACATTTTACTTGCCTAGGGCAGAAAAACATGTTCCTGAGATAGAGTAAAAATCCTGCCAAGTAACTGGTTTGTCCTATCCCTGCATAAGGCAGTCGCTCCGTGGCCTTTCTGCAAAAAACAGGTCACTATTTTGGGAACCAATTTTTTTTTTAATATATGCTATTAATAGCTGATGATATCCAACTGAAGTGATAACACAAACCACAAATTTCTACAACAGATACAAACATTCAGTGGCTGGTATTTTGTACGTTCATTAATTTTGAGAATAACTGATTGCATAAATAAGCAAACACAGAGCAATGATAAGTACTGTGATTAGCATGCATTATATGTCACTACTGTAACACAATGTATGTAAATATGCAATAGTTCTTCCTACTGATTTACCCTGTCATCAGTTCCATCTGTCAGAGCTAAAGAGCTGCTTCATTATTCAGAAAGCAAATGAATTGCAGAACATCTGTCAAATATCCTATATAACACTTTCCAAATACTGTAATTGTCCACAAAATGTAATTACTCTGTCTAAAATACATAAAGGCAACAATTTAAAAGGAATGGCTTTAATAGTTTTTGCATTGTCACTACAGTAGTCTTCAGCCTTAGGATCACACAGTGTTTTCCTCAAAACAAAGTTAAGAATATAGATAGATTTTCTTTCTGTTTTCCTGTTTCACATTCTGACTAGTGCAGCCTAATTAAAAATTAGCCAGACATTAAATAACCTATCCAACCTATAAGAAATCACCCATGATTTTCCTCTACAAGACAGCCCTTAGTTTGTACACCAGCATTCACACACTTGGATGTCTAACATACAAAGTTGGTACACTATTCGGAATAGTAATCAGGCCGTTAAAAGACAAGAAATTTGTTCACAAAAGGCTCTTTGAACAGAGTCAGAAATTTATCTATTCAATTTAAATCAATAAGAAAGCAAAGTCTTATGCCAAGGGGAAAACTGTATTTTGCTATTCCATTTTTAGACTACATTTTCAGATACAGAAGCCATTTGTCTAAAATATAAGTGGTATTTTAACCTGTTTTTACAGACAAACATACAAAGTTTGAACACAAACTTTTACTGCAGAATCAAGTACAATATTACATATTCTGAACCTGCTCAGAATAAACTGGGTTTCTTTTTTTACTGACCTCGATTTCCACAGAATTGTGAAACTGACATAAAGTAAGCCACAGAATTTCAAACCTAAAAGGAGCAAGAGATGGGAAAGGATGGAGAAAAAAAATTTATATGTAGTGACACAGTAGTACATTACACTCCAAAGTCTTCAAGTAGCATTCCTACTTGTAGGTGTGATCATATTCAGATAAAAGTAACAGAAAAGGTCTTTGAAAGTACTTCTACACATTACATTCCGTAAGGTGCAACAAAAGCAGTTTACACTGAATTGGCATCTTAAAAAACACTCAAAAGCAGGAAGAAAAACAGTAAAAGATAGTGTATGCATAATGCGTAAAGAAAGAGTAAGTCTGCTTCAGGAAAGTGCTGTATTCAGCACACAGCTGGCAAGATTAATTATAACCAGTGAGATTTTATCATTACCTCGGTTTGGAATCAAAGTTCATTATACTGCAGAAGTCTGTTAATGAAATTCTACGTGTGCTCTATTAGCCTAAGATACAAGATAACTGGAATCAACTTGACCTTGGAAAGCATTAAGGTTCAAATCCAGGAAAGGATTTAGTAAACCTAAATTAGGGAGCAGCGTTAGTAACCCCATTTTTATACAGTATCTAGGTAGTTACAGAAGTCAATCATTGTGAGGGGAGGGCTGGTCAAAATCCTCGTAGGCAGATGAAGTGCAGTTTCTAGAAGCAAAACCCTACTCATTTTGTTATACACTCATGCAGGGGTGCAAAATATTTTCCCTCCTTCCTTCCTACTCCCAATGCATTAAAGCAAAGAAAAGGATCAAGAACAACAGTGGAATCTGTAATTTGAAGTTTACGGCACTGATAAGAAACATCAAAGTCCAGTTTGTAGGTCCTTGTCCAAGAGCATTAAAACCCCCCAAAGAGTTATAAGTAAACTTTTCTCTCTGCCACCTCTCTGGAATCCTAAGAGATTAAACTTTAAATTTAAATAAAAGTCTAAAACTGATAGAACCTGTATCTAACTCAAGTCTAATGTAGAGAAAATTGAAGTTGTATACTATAGTCATTCTTTGTTTTCAAGGTAGTCAGCTGATCTGCTCTGCATACCGTCAAATTAGTAAAAACATTACTTTCAGTAAGTGGAAGAAAGTGTCTAAGTTTGTATGTGACAAGTTTTCAATCCACTTTATAGGCTACAGCACCTTTGAACAAACAATACTCCTGGATACAGCAACATTTCCAGATTAAATTTTGACTAACACTAAAACAGAAGAGAGACATTTGCTGAGAAAAAAAAAAAAATGTATCAGTCTTAACATTATTTTCTGCTAAGACATCAGAAATACATTTTGGGTCACTCAGCAGAATTAATCTTAATTAAGTACAGCTGTAATTTAAACTGACCCAGTCAATTTGTATAACATCACATGCTGCCTCAGATTCAGATTTGGCTTTAATTTAATTTAACTTTTTTAGCAGATGTCAGCACTTCAGAATAAAGGCTTTGTAGACATTACAGTGATCTGAGGCAACACACCTACAAGTTTCTTCCCTCTTCCTCCTTTTATGTGTTCTTGACTCCTCAGTTAGGACACTACACTGGAAGTAAGCTACTTGCCTTTCTCCTCTATGGCCCAGTTACTTTTTCAGGTGAATTGCAGTGGGGTGAATTGCAGTGGGGTGAATTGCAGGGAAGAGGTAGGAGCTCATGAGAACAGAAATCCCTTCATGCAGTAAATGCTACAGTGCCTATTTACATTATGCACTATCATGGATTCACCTACTTCTAATGTGATACATTAATTGTAAGACAAACTTTTAAAAGTTATCAATTAATTCCTCAAGTCTCCAAATCTAGTTATGGCCTTAATTCGATTTGGTTCCCAAGTGCAAAACTGACAAAATTCTAAATTAATTGAATCCTGGCTAATCCCAATAGTTTCCTTGTTACTACTAAAATACAGGATCTCAGGTAGGACATTTAAAACAATAAAAAGCATTAAAAAAAGAAGTCAACTCCCCTTTACTTAGGGTTCAAAATTTCTTGTTTTCACCTTCACCTAAACATTTTAGAATTTCTATTCAAATTCCAGCATGAAAATAATGCTTAAATTTTTTTTTAAACAATCAGGAACTGCTTCATTTAATATCTTATATTACATGAATTTGCAAAATCAAAGTTATATTTGGGCAAGACAATGGAAACAGTATCTCCAAATTCTCTGAATTGACTTTTTCCATGAGACTAGACTAATTTCAAACAGTAGCCCTACAGATTTTATACAGTAATATACCAAATCAATTTGCAGGCAACAAAATACACAGAGCAGAAACAAGTTGTTTTACTTCAGGCACTTGGCTAAAAAAAAGTAAATCTGAAATAAAAACCTAAAATCCATTCTGCAAACCAACAAAATCATAGTGGCAGAAGTACACTGTTTGTACCTGGAATTCTCTAAATCAGGATTATCGTAATTAGGGAATAATAGATAAAAATTAAATTAATCCCAAAGAACAATCCAATAACCAGGAATTGGTTGACTATATGTGCCTGCAAGTCATGTAAATAAAAAGTAATGGAGGAAAGCAATCATGATGCAAGCAATAAAACATAAACCACTTACGCTCCTGGCCCTTGCCATGTCCATGTGATCGTGTCCTAAGAAAAGAAGTATGACAGTTGCAATTAATTACTGTGCTTTCAATTTTTTACACTGCAGACAGCATAACTGACAACATAGGACTAAAATGTTTTCATGGAAATTTCAATGTCCTTCTTGCAAAAGTTCTTAACTCTGTTAGGAATCAGCCTATCTTTTTACACAGCTAGGAAATATCCAGTAACACAGGTCTTAAACACCAAATATCTACATTCATAAAACATTTAAAGGTCTAGGTATTCTTCAAAGGCTGTTAGCCTTCAAAAAGAAAGTTACTTGCTTAGCTGATGTTCCTTGATATGCATAGTCCACATGTATTTATTTTCTTAGCCCACCCTGCTTGACAGTGTCCCTACAGTGTACTTGGATGTCCCAGCAATACATATGAACACTTTAACACTCCTGAAGTGTCCTCTGGAGATGACTGTAAGGAAGTCTGCTCAACCGACATGAAGCAGTAGGATGGGTAAGACCCTATGTCTTACCTCAAACAGTATTTTCACAGTTGCCTTTACACACAGACACCATACATCCACCTGCCTGATCCAAGAATCAAAAGGTACATTCTAAGATATCTAAACCTACAAATTTACTCTTAGGGAAGACCAGTAGCACTTCTGCATGGCCAAAATGAACACTGTGTGAAACACTAAGAGAGGACAAACAGCAGTGAAAGCATTTGTTAGATGCGAATAGCAAAAAGGGGTCAGAGACCTGGAAAGGAATATATAACAGATATAAGAGGTAACAGGAAGGAATATGACAGTAAAAGTCATCACATTTTTAACTGTAAGACTAAGAAATAGCACAGGAAAAAACCTGCAATACTTGGAGACAAGATTTAAGTGCAGAAGTAAGAATCTAAAGACCTGAAAATTAGTTCTGTTCTAACTGGAAAAAAAAAAGTTCAAGTCACTAATGAAAAGACAAGAGGACTCATTATATTCAGGTTTCCAAAAGATTAGATCAGAAAGATATTTATTTCAACTTACTGAAAATGTTCCAGTTCAGTTCTATTCTACCATTCAAATTCATTTTAGAGAGTTCAGGTGATCACATGTGCCAAGACCATGAAAAACCAAGTCAAATTCCAGTTTTAATTACCATTTAGAGCAAAAGGCCATCATAAGTAAAAATGAAAGAAAGCAAATCCATCCATAAAAGGTGAAAAATGTGATTGATGTAATACAATAATTCTTTATCATATTTTGTTTGATTGAAAATAATTGTTAGAAGTCAAGTTTTAAATTTTTAGTGGACCTTCCTCTTCAAACCATTTTTCTATCTATACCAAGTAACATACATACATAAAAAGAAGACTTATCCATGTAGTGATCTTTTAGAACTTTACTGTCTATAGCTTTATTGTTACACTGTTTCTGGCTATTTTGATGTCTGTGATAACACCGCAAGTAAACACATTATGGGGTTTGGTTTCTTTCCACAAGGAACTTTCATTTACAAACCCTGAGAAACCAGTGTAGACAGCTAATAATTTATCTAGACACTAGATCTGCCTTAAGAAAACAACACCACAGCATTACACATACCCAACTCAGCTCTCTAAATTGCAACAATGCAGAAGGAGACAAAGAAAAATGAAATCTCCACAAAAGTATTCTGATCACTGAACAGAGAATAAGTATTGTCAGAATCCAGCCCTGTGCTGGCTAGCCGGCAAGTCAAACTCAAATAACCCATGTATCTATCAACAATCCTGCAAGAAAATTCCCAATGTGAATGCCATAGCAGACATGCACGATTGCTCTCATCAAGAACATCAGGATGCAGCAGGGATGATGGCTATAAATGCAATTTTCTAGGGGAAAATAGGATTCTGGTCTGCAAGAGGCAGACCTATGCTACAGCAGACTCCTACCTCATAAAAATATCCAATATTTTTATGATAAAAACAGCAGGCAGACAATGGGAAGAGGCATTTTCCTTACCCAGTTACCTTTAATATTTATCACTGCTACCAGCTTATGCCTATGGACAGCATTCACTTCAACAGCATTCGGAGTACACTTTGAAACTACTGTATCTAGGTAATACTTTGAAATGTGTGGAAGCACATAAAACTCTAGAATGGCTTGGGTTGGAAGGGACTTTTAAAGGCCATCTATTCCAACACCCCTGCAACAAGCAGGGGCATCTTCAACTAGATCATGTTGGTCAGAGCTTCATCCAACCTGACCTTGAATGTTATCCTGCCTATTATTTCCCCTCAGCATGGGAGGAAACAGAGAGAGGAGTCATCTTCCATATAGTTTGAATTTGACACAAGAAGATACTGAGAATCATGCCAACCTTTAAACAGCAGACTGGCTGTTGTTTTTACATGTTCAGTCAACCCTGACATACCAAAACTGCACAGGAGATGCTGCCAAATCTCTTAGCAAATAGCAGTTACTTGTGGAAGACACTGGGACATAAAAACACATTTAAAATGGCTCTGTGATAATTACACAGGTATACAGCCTTTCATAATCACCAGCACTCTGACAGAAAATTCAAGTGAAGAAACAAAGAAAATAAGTGTAAAACCAAATTGCTGTAGAACCTATGATGAAGACATTAGAGCATTTATTTTAATTAGAGTATAGGTAATAGCTCTCAGGCATCCAATACCCAAAATATTACCAAATTAGATAACCAGTAGCAAATTTTGAATATCAGGTCTAAATATTTTAAGCCTTAAAATTTCTTTCTGCTCATGGATAATACTAACATACTACTCCTAAAGAAACATTGATACAGGACCAGAGATGTCATCTAACACAAATAATCACAAGCCCCAAGACAACAGGTATCCAGGGGGCAACCCTGACTATAAAAAAAATAAAATAGAGAGTTCTTCACAGTAACCAGAGCTACATTCATTTGCTAGAAAAGAACTGACTTTACTCCTTCCCTATTGTCACGTTTCAGTCCACTGCAGAACAGCAGTGCTTTCCCCAGTTCTTGAATAGAGTACAATTAAATAAACATGTAAGAGTGCCCACACCTACTACATTCACCCCAGGCTCGGATCTCAAAAAGCCTCCAAATACAGTAGGTGTACTCAAATCCAAGACTGTTCTCATCTGTACTGTGGAACTCAGAGCTCTGAATGTAGATCAGAGCAGGTACTTCAAGTGAAGAGCAGTGGGGTGACTGCACACAATGCGTATCTGGAATTCACTGGCTAAGCCAAGATCTTAAGAAGTTCCTTTCTAAACCTAAAATTATAATATGCAGTAGCTAAACAAGACAACAAATAGGAAGCCAGGGACAATTAAAGTTTGCTAAAAATGGTGTCTCAGTGTATGAAAAACAATATTCTCTCCCTACTCTGTTGTTCTTACATGTGTTGTGGTTTAATCCCAGCTGGCAACTAAGTACCATACAGCTGCTTGCTCGCTCAATCCTCCCCCAGGGTGGGTAGGAAAACCACGAAGAAAAGGTAAATCATGTAGATTGAGATAAGAATAACTTAATAACTGAAATAAAATAATCTAACTCTGCATCCTAACCAAAATAAACCTCACTTTCATGTACCACATCATATTCCTCCTTCCTCTTCTCTTTCTAACTCTGATAAAAGTCTTCTGCAGCCCCCAAGCTAATGTAAAAATCAAATAGTTATGGCAATTAGCACCCCCTTCATTAATGCTTAGATCTTAGGAAGGTCTCCAGGAAGTAGACCTTAGGGGTTAAATGACACAGAAAGGCACTGAAAACTAAGTGTTTCGCAGCAATTAAAAATACTGGGGAAAAGTAAAGTCCCATACACAAATTCATGCCAGCTCACAATGGATATCTATTTGAATAGTTACAGGTTTTTTACGATATTTTGCAGTAACACAAAGAAATTATGAAAATTTTCATTTGCATTTATATTGACTTACTTCAATGTTAAAAGCTCACAATTTCTGTCAATAAAGTGTTAGGAACATGTAATATTAGTTTACAAACTTTGCATATCATGTACTACAGGCAATAAGGACATCTCAGTGCGCAACTGGATTAAAATAATCTTTTTTCCTGAAAATAAAACAATCGTGTAATGCAAAGTCCCAGGCAACCTGCTACAATACACTTAAAACTATGTAAGCATAGTAGGCTGCTATTCTCGTCACAGTGTCTGCAAAGATGATTTTTGCATTTGTTACTGCAAACTAGTTGACTGCCATCACATCTTGTCTCAGTAAAGAGATGGTGTATATATATCGACTTTGTTTGGGTACTTCGCTTTTTTAATCAATCTTATGTGTTATATCATTCTGTAAGTAGACAGAAAGAACAATGGATAGAAGTATTTGTAAGAAACTCAGGTACCAAGACGAAACAAAATCCTTCCTTAGGACAAGGGATTATTAATGGGCTAGTCAAAGAGACAGAGATCTTCTGATGTGACATGCATCAGCTAAGACTCAACGTAGTCTCATTTTTACTTCTCACACTCCTCACACCCTCCACAGAGGGCTCAAAATGAAACTTCAGGTATTGTAAAAAAACAATATCATTCGCATTTTACCTGAATCTGATCTATATTGAAGGACTACTCTGAATTAGCCATTGTCTAGCATTCCTTAGCCAAGTGAATTTAAAACACAGACAAGACACTTTATAAAGGTGCAGAGGTCCCCACACACTATACTATTCAATCCTATTAATTCAGGACTAACATCCCCAAAGGCAGGAGGCACAGAAGCATCTTCCAGCTGTAAATGATGTTAAGAAAACTCTCCAGCAGTAATAGGGAGAACAGGGCAACACAGATCCTGGACAGAAACTGACATTTGCCTCATGCGGACAGTGCTTCTTGTAACAACACAAATAACTTTCAGAGCACTGTTCAGGAGTAACCTAAGAAAAGCAGAAACATTTAAACTGTCTCAGACTCTCTATATTGCTTGTGACTTAAGGAATACATACTTAGCCAGTAAGCATTTATCAATAATTTCCAAATTTCTAAACTTAAAAGATTACACAAGTGCAAACGTTTTTAAAGGAAAATGCCCTGCACTTCCAGCCACACTGCAAGCTGAACTTACCAGTTTGTTTGGATAACGTAAAACCACTGGCTGTACAGGAACTCCAGGAATAAATGCTCCTGGAAGACACATATGACACATAATTACTTTATTAGTGCATTGTGCTACAAAAGAAGTTTACTGCAGCAAGAAATAATTATACAATTAATGGGCTGACAGGAATTAGTTGATAGTGAAAAAATAAGATCTGAAAGTGGCCTCACAAGTAATTGAAAAAGCAAGCACTGGAGAAAGACAATGTATATCCATCTTTTCAGCAGATAAATAATTAAAAATGCTTTCTTGCGTTCTCTTAATTTTCCTCTACCCTTTACATATATTGTCTGCACACAAGTCAAAGTTCAGTACCAAATTCAGCTTGATAAATGATTAAAAAAATATGAGAATGTACAAGATAGTTCAGCAATATATTCCCCATGGTTATTTTTTTGGTGAAGAATCCGAGCTTGCTTATGCAAAAGAAGCTTTCTATTTCTATTTGAGCAACAATTTATAGGTAATTTATCTTCTCTGAAATAACAGAATTAACATAACTTCTATTCCCTGCTATGGAAAATCTAATAGTTATAAAGTATTGAACTGCAGCAATTATACAGAAGCATTGCTTCATTTCATATGAAAATTGCAGTTCTGATTAAGTAGCACAAGATCTACGTCATTTGCTAAGCATTTTCTTGGTTTCTAGTACAAAGGTTGGGTAAGCATGATAACTATCTTGCTCAGATATTTAGATTCCTCTAAACATCTTTTTCTCATGAAGAAATTAAACCAGCTTACTCAAACTACATTATTTACAACAATTTACTAAGTTATCTCTAATATTCTGACTAAAATTAAGAACTGAATGATTGAAGTGTACCGTATTCTTAGCATTACATTGGCTTTAAGAGTAATTGTTGAGATATAAAAGTAGTAACTGTTAATGGAGTATAAACATCTTTAAATGAAGGTTGTCTGAATAGAATCCTGCAGAGATTCATGGCCAGTAGAACTTTCCATTCAGTCTCGAAGAACATTTGAAGTAACTTTTGAAATAATCCAAAGCTGACAAAATCCGAGCAGTAGATGACAACACCCCCACTTGAATAAAACTAAACTACCTTGCCCTGTATGATTAGCTTGCACAAACATAAAACCAAAAAAAAGGTAGTTAAGGGCAAGGGGCATAGGCCACATGAGCAGAATGGGGAAAGGCATCCAGAAAGCAGTTACTTGAATAGAGACCTAAAGCAATGTATATAAGCAATGATATAAGTAACGAATATTCAGGTAAAGGCTTTCTGAAAGGCTAGATGGATACAGAAGCAGGTTTCAGTAGGAAAAGTGAGGCAGTCAAGAGGCAGACAGCAGCATGTACTAGGCCAGAGGAGAGGAAGCTAGAGTGAGAATTTGAGATGGAAATACATGCTGCCTAAAAGGTCTATGTCACAGAGGGAAGGCAGTAAATCAGGGCTTAAATGAAGGATTCAGGTTAGTTTCCAAAGCATAGTCAGGATTCAGGTGGAGAGAGATGGAGAGCAAAGAGCTAAAGAAGTGGGTGTTTCCCTAACCACCACTCATTCATCTAAAGAGGTAAGAGCTGAGAGACAAGCCTGAGATTCTTTCAGCCAAATGAATCAGAGAAAGGAATCACAATGCTGACTCACTGCATGGTATTCTAATAGTCATATGTAAGTTGCAAGCAATGCAAACTACAAGTCACACAGTAAGACCAGAACACAATGAGCTAGGCAGAAACCTAGGAAGAGTCAAAAAACACGTTCACAACTGCCTTGCTCACTGAAGCTTCTTCACTGACCATCTCCCTGTCTACACGATAACGGCAGGTTTACATTAAAGGTTGGTGGTTCACTGCAGTATTGGCATTTCTCCCTATTGGAACTGCAGTTTACAGCTGCAGCAATGTTCACTTACAGCCCCGTCTAATCTGATAAGCTAAAAAGGTGACAGTAATTGTAAAGAGCTTAGAAAGTGGATGTTACACAAAAATTGTAACCTTCCTAACAGTGCTATATGGGAAACTTTTGTGCCACCTTCACCAGAATGCAACTCCACAGAAGAGGAATCATCCATACACAACACAGCAACAAATGCTGAGGCAGGCTGAAATAGATTCATGCTGCTTCCTTAAGCTTTAGAGTGTATCTAAATGCTGCATGACAGACTCAAAATAGGAAGAAGTGGAGGAGGCAAGAAAAAGAAGGAAAAAGAAAAGAGACAGCCACAAACAAAAACCCAGTAAGAAACACTAGTCTTCCAGCTCATATGCATCTCAGAAGCCAAGAAAAAACCTGAATTATCTAAAATGTCTTGTTCAATTGTGGAATTACAAACCTCCTGTAGCATCAGAAAATTTCTATTCCAATTTCACCCTATTGCAAGATTTTTAACTCAACTTCTGCAACAGCAAGCAAATTACAATGCAAGTGGTATTTCAAGAAACAAAGATACAAGAACATTATGTAGAGAACAGAGTATAATACCTACCAGGTTTGAATGTAATTAGACAGGATCGGTTTGTGCAAGTGCCCTCTGGGAATATCATTATCTTGAAGTAAAAGAAAAGTTGACTTTTAAAAACTATTCCAATGTGAATGTATTTATAAACACATATTTTCAAAGCTGATTACAGCAAAAATGTTTTCAGGGAAAAACAATCCAGATAGATTAAAAAAATGGTGCTTAATAAAGAAGTCAAGTAAAGTTCTACCTTAATAACAACAATATTTATCTGCGAATTTGCCTCTTTCTTGCCCTCAATAATAATTTTATTCATTCCAACACTGACAGCGACCAGAAACACTTGTAGAGCATAAGAGTATTTTCACCAAAGGTTTCATCAAAACAAAATTCCTGCTCCCAGGCAGAAAAGAAAGACAGTTATTTTCTTGTTGCTATTACTTGGCATGTGCACAGATGTCCAAATTTTTTCTTCTTAGAGAACTTTATAAACTGCTGTGGTCTGTCCATTTAGTCCCACTTAGTTTAGCTCTCCATCTCATGTACTTACCCAGCTCTCCTTGAAACACAATGCAATGAGAAACATAAGAATCTTAAATTATATCTTCTAGAAAAAGGGGGTGGAGGAAATTTCACCCCCACGCCCCACCCCAAACCATCTAAAGCCACTCACAACAAAAAAAGTCAACTGCATATCCAAAGCTTGGAAATGCCAAATACCATTCCTCAAACAGTAGCAGAATACAGTACCTGTGGCCATTTCCCATCAGACTGAGCACGCCTCTTTATCTCTTCAACGGTTTTCCTGCGAGAATCCTGGTCTGACCGAGACACAAATACTGGTCGGATGTATTTGATTAGAGCTGAAGAGGAAGGAAAACAAAACCAAACAAATCAGCCTTTATTTCATCTCAGTTTGAGAAAGATCCCCCCACCTCACCTCTGCCTAGTAATCCTCTGGACAAAAATTTTGGTAGAAGAACATAACTACTTTACTATATTACACTGCAAACTTAAATACTCAGCTTAATTATTAGAGTTTTATTGAAATAGTTCCAAAAATGCTGGTGAGGAAAACCAGCTTTGCTGTTTTGGCATCATCTTTTCATGAATTTCTGTGAGGAAAACCATTTTCACAATTTTGCCACTTTGTAATAGTTCAATTTTTAATAGACCAATACAGACCAATATATACAACACACACAATGTCAAACACGATGGCATATATTATGCACAGTTCTCTGCAACAATGCAGCTGTGGCTTCTATAGGCCATTTCTTCCTGCCACAAAAATCACAAAGTCTATAATCCCTCCTAACCCAGCAAAGTAGCAGGAATCTCCCTCTTCCAAAGTGCTTCCAAAAGATATCCTGTGGGTCAGACTATCTCCGGTTTTTAGAGCTTTTATCTTCTATGACAGCTCAGTTTCACTAACGGTATACCATAAAAGATATTCCTTATCCTGATGTTATTTTTTTGTGAGGACTCAGTATCATCAAAAGAAAAAGTGTGCTTATTTTCTCAGCTGTCATCTGCTTGCCCGTTCCTCATACCAGCTGAATTAGATCTCAGACATCCTCTTCCTGGCTCAGTGGGAATCCTCTTGTACATAGCCAGACACAAAATGAACATGAGCAAAAATCAGCAATCAATCCACAAGATCCAGTCCATACATGTCAGTCACCAGGACACCCAAGACAACTTTCAAAATAATAAGCATATGTAGCTGTTTTGCAGTGTCCAAAAGCACTACAAGTGAAGCACCTTCAAATATACTGTTTCATGCTTTTATTTAAGCAGGTTGTCTTCAAATACCTTTTAATAACTTTTTTTATCTTGTATTTTTATTCAAAGGTTCTAGAGTGTGGTGGTTTGGAAAAATATTGGCTATTCTATTTGCCCAAAATACTGTTTTCATATTTCCAACCACTGTGGGATGAGTTCACTGCCACTAATTGTATAATCTTCTTTTGCCAAGGATAGACTTGCTGCATTAATGGATCAGCCAGTGCTTAAAGCGTGAAGAAAAAACAAACACTATAAGGAATTACAGTCCTGTACTCAGCAAAAGCTGCTGGTTCTGGTGTTATCCTACTGGAATTTTAGCCAGCAACTCACCAAAATCTTTCTGTGGCCCTGAGAAACTAATCTGTCAAAACTTACAGCAAGGTCCCAAACATTCAGCCAGCCTCTGAAATATTGCTTTTATCCCACAAGTTGCTGAAGCTTAGGAAACAGTATATCACAGAAAAGTTACCTTAGTCTTGCACTTATTCCTACATGCCTGCTCTTAGACAATACCTATACAGCAATGCTTGCTAGGGGAGCAAAGATTGGTTACTGCTGGGGGAAGCTAAAAAAAACAACCAATCAACCAACCAACCAAAAATAGCCCCCAAACAAAAACCAAAATATTAATACATAAAAAACTGGGGGAAAAAAACCCCCCAAACACAGAACAAGCAATAAAAATAACAAGGGAAATCATATCTAGTATCATAATTGTTTCTTAGTGATGCTACTCCTGAGTTTGTCCTACTGTTGCAAATTACTATTCCATAGCAAAACCAATATAAAATAAAAGAAAGCAAAAGACGCAAACATCCCCAGCATTCACTCCAAAGTTTCTTTTACGTTAGGCCCAAATGATGCAAATTGGGTTGCTTCAGGCCAAGGAATAAGATAAATCCAGAGCTCCAAGGCTTTGGAGGATTGCAAGGTCTTCTCTGTAACACAAGAAATTAAGCAAGCAGATAGATTTTACCTAGGGCAACATGACAGAAACATCCGATTACACTAATGTCGTCTGTATCTGAAAACTGTACAGGCAAGTTGTGCATAAACCTGGGAGCTTTACTGTTACAACCTTCCCAAAAGCAAGCTACTAAGCTCCAAAGTACTGAAAAAGAACAGAGACAACTGAAAGCTTTGTTTCCTATGGATTTGTCCTGCCTGTTGAATTATATGACACAAAACAGTTCAAACAGTATTTTCATGCAGCTTGCAGAACTTAGTATCTTTTAAACGATCACCTTTTTTCAAATACATGTGTGAAGGCATCACTATTTCAACCCATCACATCAAATCTTAGACAGGGTGGTCATATTAATTCTTATTTCCTTAGAGATCAGACTAAAAGCTGACAGAATTCTTGTTTTACTATTAAACAGCAACTGAAGATCCTGTAAGACACCAGCTACCAGATCTTTAGTGGTTAAGTCCAACAAGTTAAGTGAAACTGAAACTCTCATCAGTAGGAAGCTGAAAGCACACACCAAGGGAAGGCTAGCTCTGTACTTGCCTTTCCTCATACACTCTTTTCTTAATCACTTTTGAAAACAGAGCACAAGGCTACATAGACCTTTACTCTCACCACATATTTTCATATTCAGTAAATAGACAGAAATCTGAAAATTCAAAGGCTGTACCAAGTCAATCTCTGCAAGAAAGTCAGGGACAGGGCCAAAGGTTTGTAAAGAAAAGCTGAGAAACGTACCAAATAAGTGGACAAGATGAGACTGAGGTCACAGGTCAAGTCAAAACACTGGGAGAGCATACCATAAGGTAGTATGTGATGCAAGGAATAGGCAGGACAAGAACAAAGTCAGGCCAGGAGCAAAAAAGCAGCATGCATGAAAATGCACCAGACAGCTGGCATACTGAGCAGCTAAAGGAAACAAGCAGAAGTGTGCAATATGTTTAATAAACAGAACATAATCATATCTTTCTCTGCTCAGCAATTTAACTGTCCAAGACTGTAACCAGGTACTGAAGACCACAGCTCAAGTATTCAGAGATTCTGAAAAATGTGCTTGCCCAGCTCCTCTCACACCACTAAAACCACCCTTGAATTATCAATTCTATCATGCAAAGACAGACAACCCCTCAATTCACAAAACTGATCTTGCCAGTGTCATTATTTCAGCTTTTTCTCTAGCACTGTCAGTCCTGAGGACAGCTGACATGCTGTACTCCACCTTCTTAGGCAGATGCCTACAATTTAAACAGTTCTGCCTGTAATTCACTAAAACCTTTGCCTTACAAGGCAGCCAGACCACCACAGATATGCTAACCAACTGAAAGCTGCTCTAGCACAAAACAGCCTTTTTTAAGAGAGCCTGCAAAAATTCAATATTGCTTTAATTAACTGCAGGGTGGCAGCTCCAACTGACTTCAGAAATGTAACTCCCATGCAATCAATTTAAGCACCACCTCAGCGCATACAAAAAAAGGTTTCTCCCTGATGAGTTGAACACATACAGCTGGTGTCAATGAACTCCTTAAGATAATAGCAGAAAAAAAATTATTTCACCTTTCTATTTCGAGGCAAATGAGTGTGAGGAAACCTTGTTTCAAATCAAGACAGGAAGTGCTATATAACATACAATAGTATTGTAGCAAACCATTTAAATTATGTTTGGCAGTTACAACCATGTAGTAGATACAGCTACACTGGCAACTTCACCACTGGTTCTGCAAGGCATCAGGGAACACAAAAGCAATGGAATAGCAATGTGGCACTAAATACAGTTCTTCTAAAAGGTATCCAAACACACACTTTTGAGTAGGCAGTTACATTTTCACCACTGTAGAATCAGCATCAAATGAAGTCACAGATCTGCTGCAAAAGTAGAGAATGATGAACTTGAGGCTTTCACTTGGCCTCTCTCCCAAACATGGCAAAAATCCCATCACATACATTCTCCTGACACACTAAGGGGGCAGCCTACTGAGGCAGTACAACTGGCTCTGTTTGCATTTAACATGGATGTAAGCTATACAAGTAGCCTTGCAGTGGGCTATCTACTTACAGTATTTATCCCGATTTTTTTCTACTATGGAAAAAATATACATTATATTATTAGTTGCCCCCCTTGTGCATTTTGTATTTAGGGGTACAAAACCATGAAGGCTTTTTAAATGCAGTAATATCTAATATGAAAACCACTCTTTTCTGTAGAGAAAAGAAGAAAAGAAATCTACAAAGGACTCAGAAGCCTTATAAAAGTTATGGGGGAAAAAACCCATTAAGGTTCCAGACTAAAATTACTTCCTGTGTATATGGACACAGGGACCTTAAAAATGGAAAAACTGAAGCCCACACACACCAAGTACATGAAGTTGTATCTATGTACAAAACTCAAGTCAACCAAAATTAGGATCTTTTCCACTTGAAATTATATTGTTCTTACAGAAAAAGTTAAGAAAAAATTATTATAGTCATGGTACTCTACACGAGATCTGTACAGTTAGCGGTAGAACATTATTAGAGCAACAAATATACACAGAAACAAATACTGAAGTGTAAGACTAAAATCTGAACCAACCACTGAAGCTCAATGCACACCAAGAACTTCTCCAAGTCTGACTAAATGTCTAGCAGATGGACCACCCGACAGAAGGGATACCAAGTATTCCTGGTATAGAAGCAGCATTAACAAGAAAATTCCCCTCTCTATTTCCAAAGAGAAAGGCAGGACACACGCAGTCTGCAGTACAAGGAAAAGTCAGTAGTGGGAGGTAAATAAAGAGTGTCCTCTTAGCTTTAACAAAAGTAAATTCTGTGGTATTGGGGTTGGTCTTTCAAAATGTAATCTATTTCCCTTAAGGACTTCTTGAGGCACGAAGATCTTTTTTATGTCCCAGAGATTGCTGTTTGCTTTCACACCTGCAGTACCTGTATGAGAGCATGGCTGTATGTTTCAGCTTTCCACTGCCAGTCTCAAAAGTATTTAAGGCAGGCAGTAGTGTTGGTTTGCAGGTTTCCTACATACTGTAGTGACTTCCATGAACCATATTAAAAAGTATGCTTAAAAAATATGATGGTGGTTTAGGCACTCCAGCAGTAGTTTAAATGAGAAGTAATTTTTACTTAATTTCCCAGGACTCCAACCCAAATAATAAAGGCATACCTACAATACACAGATGATAGTACAACTATTTTAAGTCTTTCCAAGAGAGCTCTTGTGAGGACAGAAATCTTGCAGGGCCATCTGGGTGTCCACAGCCTGAAGGAAACCTTAAATTATGAAATGGAAGGTTTTAAAGGAAAGGATGAAATGGATAAACTTGGCAACAACTTCGAGATGCTCATCAGAATGGGGGAGCTCATTCGTGTACTCAAGGCAGGCTATAATGCCAACATAGTATAGGATGCTGGCTTCCATCCTGGCAACCTTAGTGTTTAAGCTGCTGATTTACAGTGTATAAAGACAAGAAATCTGTGATGCCTTCACCTTAGAGCAGGTTTTTCCAAAAAGGATTCAAGGACTGTTTTGATGAATCTCAGAAGTACCTGAATGTGAGATTCTCACTGAAGAACTACGGGTCTACCACAGTTCTCTTCCTTCTGTGCTTTGGAAGGGGTGGGAGAGAGGGAGGGGCATGTGAGTTGAAGGACTAAAGGATTAGGTTCCATAGAAGAGCTGATGAGTAATTTGGCATCTTTTAAGGTTTGAAATGAAAACACCCAGCTACTAAAGCATAAATATTTCCCCCAAATTACTTATTTCTCATCTTTTAGTCATGATGCTTTAGAAAAGCCTATAATGTCCTTTCAAAAGATGAGCTCGAACAAAAAGTCACGAGTTTACTAGATGTGGAAAAAACCACCCATGACAGAATTGATAGTTTTACAGCACAGTATGATTCTCCCTTCCTCTACAGCTCTTCTGTATTGGGCCAAACAAAAATTACCTCCTTCCTCTTTATAAACTTAAGTTAACATATCCCCCCACTTCGTTTCACAAGTACTAAATCCCTCTTCTTTTCAGAGGGTGACGTTAGAGATGTTGAGAAGTTGCTTAAAGTTTAAACTAGCTTATCACCTTAAATTTAGTTTCTAAAAGTTCAGATCACTGAAGACGTTCAAATCACAGAAGTGATACAACAAAATCCCCATAAACCCACCTTTTCCTTCTCATTGAAGCATTTCTGCAGCAGCACTGACCACTTCAGCAATGAAAAATTACTTTTTTCCAGGTTGCTTCAACAGTCAAAAATAAGGCAGTGTAACTATCCAGAATTTATGCAAAAACCTTGTCCTGACTTAAAGTGAGATTCAGCAGACAAAACAGGAAAGTGTAAGGATTTGTGCTGATAAATTAATTGATCTGATTTCTTCAGTCCATGTAAGGTATAACAGACTCCTAGATGTCATCTTCCCAGCTGCACGTTTCACACTTAAGTGGTCAGGCGAATTTCACATCTCCAATCTACCAAAACTCTGGAAAGTCACTGCATGGAAACATATGTCTTCCTTCAGCATCATGATGTCTGTTTGGCATACTCTACTTCCTAGATACTGACTTTTTTTTTGGTTGAAATCTCGTTTATATTTGGGCAAGCAGTTCCTCCTCAGAGTTTGTTAAACTTGTGTGTGTGCCAAGTGGATAATTTTCTTCACTACTGACTACTAACTGAACAGAGTTCAATACTCTTGTCAGAACAAAAGTGCATTTTTAAATTTGAGTTTTCTTCTCTTTGTTTTCCTAAAGAGGAAGATGTCTGTAAGAGTCACAAGACTTAAGTCTGCTTCTGAAATTGGACTATGTGGTCCAGAAGAGGGGCCTTCAAGTTAGGAAGCAATAAAACACTCATGCATAAGGACACTTGTGGAATATTCCAATCCCATGAAGAACAGGCTTTTAATAATCTGGACTTGTAATTGGATCAGAAGCTTCCATGACTAGCAAACTAAGGGTACAATAATACAGTTCCAGAAACCTATTAAAATATTTGCAGAACCAATCTTAGTAACCAGTTAGCAATCAGATCTTTTTGCACCTGCTAAAGCACCTGATCCCTTTGATACAGAACGTACAATGTCCCAATAAACACTGTCATTACATCAAAAAGCCAACTTATTTATATCACACTTGGATATTTTGGATGACTATCTACTCTTTACCCAGAGTCCTTGTCCTTGAAAACTATCTTCAAATTTCCCGTGTCATGTCATTTTTTACACGCCTGAGTCTGTTGAGAGAGTTAAATAAATGTACTTCATTCAAAGCTTCCCAGAAGGTTCTGAATAACAATTAACAAGACTCAATTAACAGATAGGAAGGTTAGGATTATCAGTGACTGGCTACAAAACTTTACTGGAGATGGTATAACAAGTCTGCAAGACTTACAAAACTGAAGAACATAAAAACCAATTTGATCTCTCTGGGATAAATTCTAGATGAATGTCTAGAGTGTTGACAATTCACAAGGTAATCCAATAAAAACATAAGCACCTTTCTACAGATAGACAGCAAGAGAGAAATATAATTTTTTAACTTTTTTTTATTTTTTTCATGCGTGTGTCTGTAGAGAAGTGTAAATAACATTAGGATTAAAAAATTAGATCAAAGAAGATAGCACTATTTGCTTCACAGAAAACTTCTTTCAAGCAGAAAAATAAATAAGTAAATGACAACTTTACTCCACTAGAAAGTTTTCACTACTTTTTAAGGCAAACTAATCTATATAGTGATTACTCACCTCTCTGTTAAGGTCCATTTACTTAAATAACACAAGCTGCTGTAATTAGTGTTGCTTATACAAAAGTACTCCTCTAAAAACAAAAAAGATTTTTGAACTCTGAATCCCAGTTACGACCCTTGCTATGCCTCATTTCTGTGGCATTTTTGTGAATACTTTAAAAGGGACTACACAACTTTTGTGGCTGCATAACATAAAGCAAATTCAATCATACAGGACAAAACATCCATTTATTTGACTGCACTGTACATTCCAGTAATAATCCACCAAATCACTACATGTTTTCTGTTTTTCTGTAACTGGTTTTACTCACACACGAACAAAATCAAGTGAATAATTTTTAATATGTATTGTAATAAGACCAGACTTTCAAAAGAATTCTTTAAAAGTTACCTTAAAATTAAATTAGGTACATAGAAATAGTTTTAACTACTTGATATGCATTATTTGCGTTTCATTCAGTGGAACTGCAATCTCCATATCCCTACGAATTCTCCTCAGGCTTTCCCACTATTTCCCACTGAATCTACAACGTGGGTAGTTAAGTACCCATTACAGCATTCTGTCAAATGCCATTCTGCCATTTCATCACATTTCAGTAACACAACATGGCCAAGAGTTACCTCATCTAGTTTGGGTCCTCCATAACAGTCCACCTTCAAGTCAAATGGACTTCCACACAGACTACTTTATTTTGCTGAGCCAGCAATTACTAAACAGCAAACTGAGTCACCCAAGAAAGAAGATAAATCTTCTATGTCTTCTATGTCTGCTTCTAGAGCCTAAGCTGGCCTGGATACACCTATACTGTATGAGAGTGCCAACATACTGTCTCACAACAGTATCTTCTCTCAGTACTGGACAAGGGTGTTCTTTTTCCTTTTGCTTTCACACTATGCTTGTTTGCGTACATCCGTTTTCAAAAGCACATGCTTTCCCCCTTTTTGTTCAAAGCATCTATTCATTTTTATGCAGATTTTTCACTGCCACAAACTTCTAAACTCTATTAAGATATTAAATGAAATTGAGATACAACTCCAGTTCCAGCCTGAGCTTCACCTGATACAGGCAGACCTTTATAACATAGGACTCCCTACATGAAACTTCCATGTGTAACCACTCACCATTTCCAGCCATGTCTCAGCTTCAAGTTTGGAATGCAACCTCAAGAACACATTGTCTAATGAAATTTTAGGAGGACGTCAACACCAACAGCCTGATTCCACTCAGTTGCAAAGGAAGCCAAAGCTTTCGTTTACACTTTTAAACTAAAGAGTCCTACCCAAGGCCAGAGTGAAATCTTTTGTCATTTTTATATTACCCACAAAATCTACATAATGAGACGAAGGGAGATTCTTTGAACTTTGCCGGCTGCTAGACACAATATGGTGGACTTACCAAAAAAAGCTTCCACACAGATTTTCTTTAGAAGTCTACAAGCCCAAAAAAATTGCACTTTTTTTTTTTTTTGGCACAACTGCACCAAAAGCCACATATATCTCTCAAACATTTGTGAGAATTTACACTGAAAAATGATAATACAAGACACTATTCAAACACTACTGACTCAGGCATCTGCTCTTCTCATGACTAAATCTGAGCCTACAACAATCTGCTCTTGCTCATCTCTCACACCCTGCCAGAAACAAACTTTGTGATGCGTGAAGGATTAGAAGCACTCCCTCAAGGCAGGGTACCATTCAGAGCAGACAACATTCCTAAAACATATTTCCGGCATGGCATGCCAGCTCGCACCAAGTAAGAAGTCTTGGTGGACTTCCTCTCTAGCATCAGTCTTTGCTTCCATAGGCCCATCCTAATTTGCTTTTCTATCTGTCAGGTCTTAGAATGTTGCAATTTTACTGCAAATTTAACCTGAGTTCTGTAGGATTGCTTTGACTTCATACAATGATTCAATTTTGGAGAAAGGGGAAAAAGAACAACATCTCCCCCAATTTTTTCCTATCAACATTCCAAGTACATCAGTTAAAAAAAAAAATCTCACCATGGGTTATAGCAAATTTTTCTTTGTGTTTCAGTCCTTCTCATACAAAGCCAGTGAACTTCCTAAGCAATGCCTTTCAATTGTTCTTGAAAAATCAAGTATCTACCAACTTACTTCCCCAAACAGGAATATCTTTGCTTTCTGCTTTCATCACAATGGAGGCGAAGGTCATAGTTACTGGAATGGCATCAAAGTAGGAAGAATGGGGAGCCACAGTTAATATTGCTGCTTCCTCTGGCAATGCCCGTCTGCCTTTAACATTTATCCAGTGGAAGCCACCAGCAAGCCACATCATTCTCATGATTGCCTTCAGCAAAACATCCACTATCCTGTAAAGAGTTGAGAAAACAGTTATGCTGCTACAGGAATACCTTACTACAATGAAAAGAAAAACATTGCTTAAAAACTTTATATACATGAGAAAAGTACAGACAGGATACGATGCTTAAACAGAGCTTCAACACTGCACAGACTTCTAGTAGATTTAAGACCACTTTCAAGGTAAGATGCTGTTCAATTCATTTTATGCCTGAATATTAATCCATTTTAATCACAGTAAGACTGGCATTTATTTTATCATTAAACTAATTTTTATTCAGGCCATGACTGTTGAGTTTCTTCTACACAATGCCTAATGTTTTCTAGTAACACTCAAAAAGCTGTAATAAACTGAGTCCTAGGATACCGCTAGAATGCAATAACCCTGATTCTTGGTTTCAAGTTTATCCAAACAAAATAGTGGAGAAATGTAGGGCAGAGATTCTCAAATACAGGAATGCCTACAGAATACATATGAGAGCACTGGAAATATTTTGCTTTCTTCCCTATTCCCCAACTCCTCCTAAAGTGTTTTGGGTGATGTGTTTTTGGTTTTTTGCTTTGTGGAGGTTTGTTGGTTGTGGCTTTTGTTTTGTTTGTGGTTTTGTTTGTTGTTTTTTTTTCTGGAGTTTTGGTTTTCTGGGTTTTTTTAAACGTTCTGATAGTCATAAAAAGAGAAACTTTAAACCAACAGAGTATAAAACCCAAACACAACAAATTGTTACACTTACAGGGACTGACTGGGAAGCTGGGGAGCAGGGTGACACTGAAAACTGGATTAAATGGGGGAGGGACAATTTAAAAGGATTTAAAATAACTGTATGCAAGACTGAAGGCAGTCCATGACTCCTTTAGTTATTATACTGACATCACTACGAATGAAATGTAAAGTGACATGCCTCTGTGGTTCTCAACCTCCTTCCCTCCTGTGATGCAAAACACAATCAGCTTCCCTCATGCTAGTGTTAGACCCTAATTTTAAAGTTCTCTACAGACAAGGTTATACACTCTTCCTTTCTTGCTCCTCAAATGGCAGTATTCATGGATGGGTGAACACTATCTTACCTGCTATCTTAATCAGCATTCCAATATCAAAACAAGTACAGACTTTTAATAAGCACTAAAGTATGGGGCAAGCCCTCAGGCAATCAACACAAGTTTTGCCAATTCACCACAGGGTAGAAAACAATGGGGTGAAGCAGTGTAAAATAACGATTTAGAATATGAAATCTGGGCACATTCCATAGAGTCAATCTTCATAACCAGAAGTTGACATTACAAGAATAGGTGAAAGTGAAGGATGTCACAACAAAGCTTCACACTATATACTTGATAAAGATAAGAAGCCAGAGATACCAATTTTTCTCCCTGTAATTCTTGGGTCACCTGGTAAATCCAAGAGTTGAGGTATCTTAGTTTCCCATCGGAGGAAAGAGTTTAATTTTTATATTTTTCTTTTGAAGAGAAAAGCACATCTCTGAGACAGAGATGAGGTATTTCCCATCTTCTCTATTTCAAACTGCTGAACAATATGATGGTTCTCTTAGTAGTTCACCACATCAGTGACTCACCTTCGCCACCAGGAGAGGGGCTTTTCAAGCTCTTGCTCATCAGATCCCATTGAAGCAAGGAATGCAAAAGGCCAGGCCAGCAACATCATAAAAGCAGCAAAAAAGAGTCGGATAGGAAACAGAGTCAAGGTCATGAAGGCAATCTGCAAAACAATAGTAAAAAAAAAAAAAGCATTATTCTAACACAATCTCAGACTGAAAAAGTCACCCATTCCTAGAAACTGATATCAAGTCTTAAATGAAAAATACCTAATATTAAGAACGGCAGAACGTGACTCAATTCCAAACAAATAACTGTGGGGTATGCACAACAATTTTGTATTCACAATCTTAATTACAGCTGAAACACAACGTGCTCAATAGAGCTAATGGAGTTTTAGCTTTCCACTCTTCTGCTTACCCTATGTTTGTCAATGAATACAACCTCATGCTCTTTTTCCCTTTCTGCAGCCTCACATAAAGCAAATATTTAGCATGAGTGTGTTGTAAATTTTGTTGCACTACAGAAAAGTCAGTCAATCACAGCAGCTACCAGACAGTGATGTACACTTCAGCAGGGTGCACTCACACAGCAAAACAGGATGCAAATGGGAAATCTCTTCCTCTCTAGTATGTTCTTTGAACCAGAAGCTGTGGGAATACTGTACAGAGACCCCTGGACAAACATCCAGACATGTATAGGATTTTAAGTTCCAGGTCTGCGCTAGGAGGCACAACTCCCTGGAAAGCAGAGGTTTCCAAGAAATTATCCTCCTCTAGGAAGCCATGGTGAAGCCAGTTGCTTCTGCACCTCCTCCCAGCACTCTGGTTCTCAGAGAGGCCATTCCCCGACAATCAGCCCTCTTCCTTCAATTCTGCTGAAAAACATGTCATGCTGGAACTTCTTCCTCAGTCGTTCAAAGAATTCTCCCAAAAGTAGAGTCTTTCCTGAGCTGTTTGGAGTTATTTCCAACTGTCCTCCAGAAAACACTATCTGTGCAGTAATCCACTTGCTCCAGGAAACAGTTCCACGGTCCAAGTCACATCTTTCTCACTCAAAAGACAGGAAGAAAGAAAAAAAACCCTCTTAAAGTGGAGGGGGTACAGCTTCAGGACTAGCTAAGGGAAACAGAGGGAACTGAAAACTGTTTGAAGCTGACTGAGGTAGCACCAATGTTCCTCCAGTTGTACAATGGAGGCTAACAGAAGATGAAGACACTAGGAAGCAAGGGCCATGTAAAGAGAATTTTAAAGTAAATATGCTACATATTCACAGGTGTAACTAAATAAGGTTAAAAAAAAAAAAAAGCACTTTTCAGCATCACAATGGCTGGGCAAAAATGAGTAACAGGCATAAGCTGCTGTCTCACGTTGTGCTTAATCTGATGAATCTCCAGGCTGCTGTGGAAAGCTTTATTCATATTCTTCTCTTCCCTGATGCAGATCCAGTCATCATGCAGCTCAGTTTCCCATTGATCAGTTCCCAATTCCTCTCACTTCCCAAAACAGCTCAAGAACCACCTCACCCTGCAGCTGCACGTATCTGTAAATCTAGGGTAGGGGCAGGGAGCATACAACAGAAGAAAAGCCCAAGGTATCAGTTTCAAGGCCTAAGCTATCAGCCCACTGCAATACCAGATTTTACAGTGATGGTTCAGACTGGCACCGTTACAAGACATCATCCTGTAACAGTAATGGTCTCACTCCCCAAACCAGGATTCCAGTCCTTGTGTAGACTGCTTTAGTTTGCAGAACTGATAGATAAAGGATTAATTTTTTTCTTAGATAGGCTATTTTCTCAGACGAAATAGTAAAACTTCACACACTGCAATGGTCAGATGAGCGCCAAAGTTACGCCAACTCACAACTCTGCATCCACAGAGAAGACAACCATGTCTGGAAGCAGATAGGGGAGCTTTCTGGAGATGAGAGAGCAGCTGCCTTCTAAGTTCTTAAAATGAGAAGGACCAGCCATCAAGAAATAAGGGAAACAAAATGCAGGTGAGGACACAGTCCTCTGGGATTCACACTCTTTCCCTCCCACTCCCCGAAGTCTCCTCCTATACCAAGGCAAAGCCAAATGGTAGGTGACTGGTAGTGAAATATTCCATCCTTTGCATCTCTGTAGCAATCCTTTGGATCAAGATCATTTTAGTGCCACATCACAGAAGGGAAGCAGTACTTGCGCCCATCACGTCATGAAAGGTAGCATAAATGTGCAGCAAAGGCCTCTTGTTCTTCCAAAGACAGCATTAGTGGTAATGGCCAGCAAGAAGCAAGTGCACCAAGTGTGCAGGATTTGGCTGTGACACCAGCCTCTTTTTAGCAGGTGGTAGTTCAGTACCTGTCCACATAAGAAATTTGGTAGGAGAGAGAAATATACTTAGCCCCTGAAGGAGGTTAGGAATTGTGAAAGACACTAACATTTGAAAACCAGCTCAGTCTACATCTATATTCAGACATCTTCCTGGGTAAGAAAGCTTCTATCCTGTAAAACAGGATAATACAGTAATAGTGTCAGTGTCAGACAGAAAAAGGGATAAGATCCTGTCCCCACTGGCTATTGTCAGCGATCAGAATGCAGGAGATACACACTTCTGGTCTGACCTTGTACAGATATCTTATGTTGAAGATCACATCTTTACACATTTAGGACATTCACCCAGACATGTCTCCCATTAAAATTACAAATTCTGTCTGCTAATAAGTCATATGTAAACAAATGTGTTTTGAGATACATTTAAAAAACCCTAAAGGTTCATTTGGAGCTGTATTTTGGGAGGTTCAGCTCATGATCAAAATTCTCAAGAGGGGTTTGACTACAGCTTATTTAACATTTGCTGGTCTACAGGATCCAACCTGCTTTTTCAGAAGTTGAAGTGTAAACTGTGAAAGACCCATGGACAGCAGGAAGGGAGCGGATGGTCTTACAGCTTGTAACAGAAGGCTGCCCTGGGAAACTGATCTCCACTCTGCCATCAGAATGGCTTCAATCTAATGTAAGGCAAGTCACTTAAACTAAAAAGGTATCATATCTTCTCATTGTTTAGAGACTCAGATTTGAGTGTGAACTCACGATGAAGGTATAAAATATGGACTTAAAAGGGACTTAAGTTCTTCAGAACACCCAGAGCAAGAGAATCAGAGAGTACCCTTGTTTCTACTTCTGTGGGTCCAATTCCTGTCTTGAAATCCACTATCATACCTCTCACGCACAGAGAGGCAGAAAAAAATGCAACTTTGAAATTAGCGATAGTGAGAAATATCATTAAAAATCAGTTTATCCATAACAAAATTTCCATGACTTGTTATAAAGTAATTGTAATGTACTGAAAAAAGGAAACAGTATTTGACATGGTAGAAGTTTTGATTTTTCTTTTACACATATCAGATCGAGATTACATCTTGCCCCACGCTTTTACTTCTTCACTATTATCATCCCTACAGCACAACTCAAAGATGGCACTGAAGGAGCTATGAATTCATCCCTCAGCAATTCTCTTTCCCACTCTCCGAATTCCCCACTTGACACATTCATGGAAACAAACAGAGGAGTAGAAATTTTTATGTGCAACTAAGCCAAGCTAAGAGATCACTGCTGCTAAAGAGAGTGGTCCTGTTCACTCCCTCCTCCATCCTCCCCTTGAGTCAGCTCTAGCACTTATGTGAACTTGCAACCAGAGAATATAGCTCATTAGTGGGGGAAAAAAAAAGCCATCCCAGCAAAAGAAAACAATCAGAACACAGAAAAACACAATGATATGCTGGTTTAATGAGCCAAATCAGCTCACCAAGGCACCAAATGAATGCCAGCATTGGTGAAATAAAAGGGCCAGAAACACTGGAAGCAAGGAAAATGGCATCATACTGTGTTTTTAAGTAGCAGGGAAACAAAGCTATGGACAGTTAGTAACAGCTTAGCTCCGGTAATGCTTCTGCCTGTTCTGCAGCAGTAACTAGAATTAAGAGCTTTGACTTACGTGTTGGTGCCTAGAAGAAATTCACGGTTAATGAAATCATGTCTATCTTCTTCTCAGAAAAGATCTTTTTATTACAGTACCAAAATAAAACAAGTAGCTTCAAGAATGACCCCTACTGTCACCCTCAGATCAGAGTAAAATAGCCATCATTTCTACAGGATGAATGAGATTCAGTTCTGAAACAGCCTCACTGCTTTTATGCTCCTGTAATCTCCCAGATTATAAATTTTATAAAGTCAATAACAGATGATGTGAACAGTTCCTTCACAGTCAAAAGGATTTCTTTTTGCTGTTCTTCCCCGAGGTTGTAGGGAAGATAATGGGGCTATCTGGCAGACCATCAGCAACAGACAACACACCTTCAGACAAAGCAGTCGTATCTCCAAGTTTCCTGTGCTTCCTATTTCTCATACCTGCATTCCTGACTTTCCTCGATAGGGTCTGCAATCCCAAATGTCCTCCGCTAGATTCACAGGACAGACAGAAAAGCCTGTGACACAATATGTGCCCACAGCTGAACAGGAAGTGAGTTCAGCTGTAATAGTTCACACCGAACCCTCTGTAGCTGGCCAGGACTGTATGGAAGAGAACATGCACTGCCATAATTCACCCTGGGGAGCACTTCTTCTGGGAGCATTTCTCACAAGTGGAACAGTTCCACACCTCTTCTTTAACAGCTTCTATCTCAAGCACAACTTTTAATTGGTGAAGAAGCTGGAAAAGCATGATTAAGGCAAAGAAGAAAATCTATCACAGTTCCGTTTGTCAGCTTACATGCTTTTTCCTCACATAAAACTGTGGAAATAAGACTGTAAGAAAGGCTGGGTTCAAGAAATTGGTGCTGCTGTGTATCAGTAAAATATAACTCACTTAAAAAGCAAGACCGAGACACGTTCTTTGGCAAGGCAGCTATTCCTTTGGTCTGTGCACCGTCAAAAATTACAGAGCTTTAAGCGCATCTTGCAGTTTTCATTGAATGTAATAAATCCTTGAAGTCCATTAGCAAAGCTCACATTTTGTACAGATACACAGGGTAGCCCACACAGAAGGCAGATATGTTCTACAACCAGTCACTTCGCTGACGAAGCACCTAAAAGTCTGTCAGGACTAAGAACAGATCGGCAATGCTGATAGCTCCTATAAGACTCAATACTGCAAAAACTGTAAAACTGATACTCTGCTCTCCCAGCAATATTTTTAAAATTTCTTATAAATAACCAAGTAGAAAGTAACAGTTAAAAAATATAATAACACTGCAAAATGAAATATTGTTATAACTGGACACAATTCTAGTCCCTATGAATACACGCTATCTTTGCTTCTCTCTGCTCCCTGAAAGACTTCTACCTCATTAATTACATAGAAAACGTGACTTCAGGAACAAAGTAGAAGAACACTGAAAGGAAATCATTACAGCTATGCAATTTATTGAGGAAGCCCTAGGTATAAACTAAATGCAGCAAATGACAGACACCTTTTCTCACTTTTCTGGCTCAAGCAACAGTTTCTCAGTAACCACTGAATGCATACTGGGAAACTTGATTAAAAAAGTAAAAATCTTTTCTACTGGAGTCTACTATAAATTCCTTGGCTGCCAGATACGTAACATGAGGCACATTCCAATGTTTTTTAAGTCAGGCCATACATTTCTTGTGTTAAATATCTAGACAGCAACAGGGCATTGCAACAACGAACTTCACTGAAAATGTAATTAAATCAAAGTCGGATCTAGAGCACCTTGATCCAAAAGGTTCGCTATTAGTGGATCTTGATTTCCAATATCGATAGGTACTGTACGCTGTTACACTCCCAAAACAACAGCTTTAAAGAACTTAAGTATTACAGTGATGGAAGTCACAGAAATGGCCAGCCCCTCATAAGGTGAGTCTCTGGCGGTATTTCTCTCTCCAGCAAGTGACCCAGATCTTACCGAAAGCCTAAGACAAGGGCCATGCCCTTTGAATACCCAACTACCTACTGCTCACAGCGCGAGGCGAGTGAGGCTGAGGCACAGAGGGGGTGGAAAAAAACCCCAACCAATCAACCAAATAAAAAGCCATGCAACTGCAAATTTGCATCTTAATACTGCTTCCTGTCATCTCACCGCTACCTGTACAATGCCTAAATTACGCCGCAGGGACTATTTACCTAGGAGCCAAACTTGGGCTGCACGGGATGCCTCGGCCCAGGGTTAACACCTCAACCTGACGGTGGAGACCATGGGCTCCGCAGGGCCGCTTCTCCGCCCCCCATTAAAAGCCAAACCAAACCAAAAGAAAAAAACCAAATCCAAAACAAACCCGTTAAAAAAAAAAAAAGGAAAGAAAAGAAAACAAAAACCCACAGGTTTTTTTCCTTTGAAGAAGGCATCGGAGCACAAGTTGAGGCGCTACAGCATCACAGCCGCCCCCAGCCCCCCGCCCGCCCCGGGCACGGCGCCGCCTCCGCCCGCCCCGCACACACAGGCACCGGCTCCCCCCGGCTCTCCCGGCCCCTCGGGCTCACAAAGCGCCGGCGGGGAGCCCCCGCCCGCCGCAGGACGCGGCCCGGGGCCACAGCGCGGAAGGAGGAGAGGGGGGCCCCGCACGCCCCTACCTTGGCTTTCTCCAGGGGGCTGAAGCGCAGCTGGTGCACGAAAGGGCTCCGCGGCGGCGGCCCGCGCTCCCGGCTGCCGCCCACGCAGCATCCCCGGCCCCGGCTGCTCAACTTCATGGCGGGGCAGGACCCGGCGCGGGAGAGGGCGCGGGCGCTGCGCGGCGACCGCCGGTGCCCGGGCAGCGGCGGGCGGGAGTGCGGGAGTGCGGGAGAGCGGGCGGGGACTGCGGGCGGCACCGGCGGCCGGAGCGCTCCCCACTAGACGCCGGCCCCCGCCCTGCCGCGCATGCGCCCTGCGCGCCGGCTACAGCGGCTCGGCTGGGCGCCGGTTTCCGCGTCGTGTGGGAATGGGAAGCGGGTGGGAATGGGAAACGGCGTGGGTAGGGGCGGGGGGGGGGGGGGGGGGGCGGGCGCGCACCCTCCCGCCCTCCTTCCCTCCGCCCACCCAACCACCCACCTACCCACTGGGAGCGTCCCCCTCGGGCATGCCGGGAGCGCGGCCCCGCCCGGCGGGATGAGGGGCGCTGCCCGCCCGCGCCCGGGGTCCGGGGAAGCGCAGCATGGCCGGTGGGAGTGTCGCGAGGGGCTGCCACGGGGTGGGGGCTGGCACCTCGCTCAAACCCCGGCGCGGGTTGCTGCTGGGCGTGGGGCGACGGAGGGGAATTTAAAAAAAAAAAACCGTGAGGAATAAAAAGGGCTGAGGGATGTGAGTCGCTCCGGGATGGAGGTGATCCTTGGGTGCCGCGGCTGTAGCGGCGCGCGCTGCCGGCGGTGCTGGATGAGCATCTCCGGCGCACCTGGGAGAAGACAGGTGCTGTGCTGGCATCACGTGGCTGGCGCTGGGGAGGTCCGCGGGGAGACCGCTGTTGCGAGCAGATCTAGACAGTTTTAATGATGTCTGGCTAATTTGCACCTTGGGATCTTGGCTGAGTTGCCTGAGGAAGTAGCTAAGTTTGGGGTTTAATAAATCTTTAAATACAAAAATATGTTCTCGAGAAGTGAAACGAACAAACCCACTCGTGTTCTGCCCACTTTCAGAAGACCAAGCAGGGTGACCTGTGCTGTTCTCGACTGTTTAACAGCAACCAGAGGGAAAGCAAGGGAAAATATGTAAACGATTTGATAAGAAATATGTAAGATATCCTTAATATGAATCACCTCACTTGACATACAAACCAATTCTGATAGCCTTATTCAGTGACATTTGCAGGTAAATTGATAAAAGTAACTGCAGAAATATCATGGTTACTGTTTTTAATGATTAGGCTTACAATTGCAAAATGGTCTCCGAGTCCTATGTGTAATACCAAATATACTTCTAATGGCTAATGCTTTTGAATGGTTAATGTGTTAAACAAAGAAATCCTTTCTGACTTTTGAAAGAAAATTTTTCAGAGGTTAGTCTTCATGGGTTTGGGTTTTGCAAGGTTCTGCAGGCTCAGCGTCTTTTAAGGTTTTTATGAAATATCCAGAATAAACTCACTTTGTTAATAGCAAATCCGTGGATGTGCTAAATGGTAACTTGGTAAACTACTGTGAGAGCAACTGCAATGTCATCTGGACTGCTTAGTAAAATTAACACTTTCAAACAGGCTGTTACAGCCAAATGTATAAGCCAAATTTACAGCCAAATTTTCCAAGGATGCAAGCCACACCTCTGGAATGAGAGCTTAGGTCTTAGAAAAAGTCATCTAAAAACCATATCAAGCAAACTATTATAGATAAGGTCCTAGTGCAACGTGCCCAGTATGAGTGTTGGATGTACTACCTGGATTACTGTGTGTATTAATGAGACTGAGTAGAACAAGGTGTGTGGCTCTTGACATTGAAGATCAAGTCATGCAGAAAAGACCTGCCAAAGGACTACAGCACTGGAGGAAATATCTTATAAAATACGTTGAAAAAGCATTATCGATTTGTCAAAAAGATCTGCAAGATTTGGCATGCTAAAGCTTTTTGAAATGGTCAAAAAGAACATAGAATAGAAATCAGTGTTTGGGAGCTGAGATAACCTAATGCAATTATAATAGTTTAATCACGAACAAGATCCTTAGTTCAGTTTGGGACTAGTCGAAAGACTTACTGGCCAGTGGTCAGTGTGTAATCCAGTGATCCCTTTTAACCTTAAACTCTCTGAAGTATTTTAGCTGCATTCCAAATGATTTGGCTTCCCTCTCCTTTTTTTCCTCTCCAGTGTCTTCCAGCCCATTGCTAGTTCAGCCATAGGGGGCTGATTTCAATAATAAACGACAGATTTCTTAAAGAAGGAAGCAGAGACTCTAACAGGGCCCACATGCCACGTAGCCAGGGAGGAGTTCATTGCATCTTCCCTCAGGGATCTCTCTGACTCGTCAGGCAGTAACAGCTGTCCTGGCAGGTCAGCAGGCAGGAGGTTGTGGCCACTGCCTATCCAGCACACAGCCCATCAGAGCACTCACTCCAGCACACACACTGCTTCCCCATCCAGTAGGTGTAGGACACCAGGTGCAGTGAGGGTACTGGAACAGGTTCATCTGTGAGATGCAAGCAGGCATCTTTATTTCTGCTAATTGTGTTTTATCCGTTTTCTAAAGCCAACTTCCAACAATGAACTAATGTTATTATTAGTTGCACCAGAGCTTTTGGTATTTGTAGCGTCTTCCTCAGTTGTAAAATCTAGTGAAGTACTTGCCACCTGACTGATCCTTTGGCTCTTAAACCTTTCCTCCAAGAACACTTGTTCTGTATTACTGAGTGCATAAGCAGTATTCTAACTTTTTATTACTGCTTTCATGGGTTTAGTCTATTATTTTTTAATTAACCACATCTGTAACACCTGACACAGTTTCCAGGAGACTTTGTAATTTTACAGAACTCATTTGTTCTGTAGGAATAATATTCCCTGAATTGTAATGTCATGACCATCTTCTAGGTTGTTTTAGTGTCTATATGTACTTACATGAACTATTAGGAGGTTAAGAGGAGCTTCCCTGATTTTTGGTTCTCATTTGTTTTCTTTAAAATTCTGCTGTGATCAGTATAACTGAAGACAGATAACTTAAAAAATGTACAGCCTAGCCATCTTAAATTTGCACAAATATGTTTCCCTTTCTCTGTAGTCCCTTTAATCTGAAGTTGTAAAGAGATGGATGTCAGCCCTGTTTCTTGTAAAAAAAAAAATTGCCCAGTGAAGGAACTGACCATGAGCCCTGGATCAGGGGCAATCCCATGGCAGGACTTGAATGGGAAGGGCAGGCAGGGAGTCTGAAAACAAACCAGTTTAGCATTTGATAAACAGAGGGGTGAAGGGACCAGCCAACATGGCAGGGCAGAGTAAGCCACACTTACACGAAGATACCACTTACTGTGCAGAGAACTAGAAAATTTATTTGGATCCTTCCAGAAATACATGATAAAAGTTGCTTCTGGAGTGTTACTATATGACCCTAAGAGGATGGGTTTAAGACTCTGCAAGCATGAATAAAAAAGGGGCAGTATTTTATCCTTATAATACATGGAATCATAGAATTATTTAATAACATGTATAATCTTTGTGAACTAATTTGGAGCTTGAATAAAGTATGTCAATATTATTGGGGTTTGATAGCTAATTTTTTGTGCAAATCACTAAAGAGACATAACTGTGGTGTTGCTATCAGGACTAGCATATGCTTCAGAACTCAGCTAATAAGGGCTTATAATGATATAAGAAGAGGTGATGAATTTATTGCAGGATTTATAGAATTTACCTTGCTTCACAAGAGGAGAAAATGTGTGATACATTATGTTGGATGTAAGTATATTATGATACAATTGGAAAAGGAAATGTTGAAGCTGGCTATCATGAGAATAAATTGCAGTAAGCTCTCAAATAATCTCCCCAGGGGAACTGTGGAACCTGAAACCATTAAAACAAGACTGCACAAACATCTAAGTGCCATTCTACCCTGGTGCAGAAAAAGCTCTAATTGGTCCTTTGTGTCATTCACTTAGATGATTTATAGGGAGCTGTATAAATAAGAGGACTCATGCATAAAAAGCATACAAATATCAATTGTGAAATATGCTTTTGTGAGCCTTGAAGTAGGAAAAGGAGTATTCAATATTTAACAGCTAAACTGAAGTGGTTTTCTCAAAAATAAATCAAATAAGTGTTTATAAAAAGCAAGTATGTTGACCACAGCACTGAACTTTATTTCAAAATAAAAAAACTCTTGTCTAGGAAAAGTCCTTGCTTTGATTTTTATGATGGTCCTTGACCTTGATGGCCATTTGGTAGAATCAGCTGATACCTATTGAAGCATGATTCAGGTGCACTTTCACCCTTAAAATGATTTTTCTACAGTTGATTTCACATGTTCCATAGGGCGTTTTGTCTCTTTTTTTCTTATTTTTCCCTCATGACTCCCATTGCAAATTTATTCACTGCTTAAACCAGGAAAGGTTGAAGAAAAAAAGTATTTTGTGAAGGGAAAAAGCATATAAGGTGAATTACTAGCAGTAGTACAGATTTTGCAATGAATATGTACTCACATTTGTCTTTTGATTTGTGAGGAAATGCAGAATCCATTTGACTATCTTCAATCACGAAAGGAATGGCTGGAGTTAGTGGCAGGTCTATGGGAAAAACAGCAGTTTCTTTTTTTGATAGTTCTGTAGTATCTTTGATGTGTCAGCCTGAAGAAATGAGGCCCATGTGCCAAAAAAAAAAGCGATAAGACCTCCCTCATTCAGGAATTATTAGAAAACATAATAAAACATAATTCAGGGTTTTCAAGGAATAATTGTTCACTAATATGTACTTTTCACTTCAGGATTTGCAGTGTTATAATTCACATGATCTCGGCTTCAGCAATTGCAAACAAACTCATCAGTTCCCACCTGCTGATGGCCTCTCCGTAGTGGAGGAGGAGCAGGCAGAGGTGTTAGGTGTCACAGGGTCGTTGCCAGGTGCTGAGCAGTCCACACTTAGTGCACAGACCCTGCCCCTGCACACTACTGGGAGTGAGTGAATTTAAGGTGCAGTGTGGGCTGATTTCATCCTTTTGTAGTTGAGGAAAAGAAATTTTGGGCCTTGCTCGACTCATTCAAAGACTGATCCAAGACTATGGAAAAAATTGCTTTGGGATTTGAGATCTGGCTCATACTTGATCACTTGATCAATGCTATCCCGATTCATCCTGTGTATTTCATTTCTCTCTTGCTGTTCTTAAACTGAAACACAGAATAAAAGTCCATACTATTTCTGGTAATATCTCACAGACATTTAAAAGTA